GTTTTCAGTATGAGCTTTCTATAATTTCATATAAAATAACAAATTTTAAATCATACTTTTCAACATTCTGATTTAAGTTCATGTTTAGGTAATCGATTTTCTAAATTTAAATACAACAGATTTAATTCGTTAAAAATTTATATTTTAATAATTTATAACTATTGATTAATGTCTATTCATTTTTATAGGTTGTAACAACTGTTGCTGGAGTTGTTTCATATCCCTTCGACACAGTCAGAAGGCGCATGATGATGCAAAGTGGTCGTGCTAAGTCTGAAATCGTTTACAAGAGCACTCTTCACTGTTGGTCAGTAATTGCAAAGACAGAAGGAATGGGTGCTTTCTTCAAGGGAGCTTTCTCAAACGTGTTGAGAGGAACCGGTGGTGCCTTAGTATTGGTGTTGTATGATGAAATCAAAACACTCCTCTAAGATAAAAAATTCCAATTTAGTAACCAATCGATGGGTTAGTATGTAAGAAAATTAAACAACCTACTTCACCCAATTTGTACATACATCTATAGTAAATTGGAGAACGGAGAGGATATCATATTTGTATCATAAAAATCAAACTACATTATTGTTATCGTGTAAATAAATGGAAAATTGTTACTTAACTGATATAATTTTTATTTCGTCAACATTTTAGCATTTGTAATACCTATACAATTTTCTCACWAAAATTTTTTTCCAAAGGATATAATAGTTTTTTTTAGTATTTCTATTTTTAAAAGTTCTAAAGTCTGGCGGATGCTCAGTTGTACACATTATAACAAGCCAGGAGARCATTATCAATGTCATTCTATATTTAGCGACCCAGTTACGTTGTTGCCAAAATAGAATTTCAGTACCAGACGTAGCAACTAGCAGAGGTTAATATTCTAATCATACACCTTAYACTATATTATTTACGTACCCACATATACACCAACTATTAAAACAGTAGATTTAGTAGAAACCCGAAATAAATATATTCGTAATATTCAAATTTTAAAATAATAGAAATCAAATAATTTTTACATATTAGTCGAAACGTCCATTTCATGCGTTATCACTGTTTAATTTTTTAGCAATACCCATATGTTGGTTTATTGTTAGGAGGGACTTTTTCAAACAATTATAACTACATATGCTAGGAAAATTATTATATAAACAAAGGCCTTAATGAATAACATATGAATTATTAAGACATCATACAATTTAATAAATGCCTAGTGTGCCCAATTTATTATAGTTTTGAGGAATTCAAGCGATCTTTCGTTGAACGATACGTTAGTTTTAATCGGTTAAAAACTTGAAATTTTAATACTTCATTCCTTAGAGGTTTTTGTGATTGAAAATTAAAAAAATTTGAGCTCAAATCCACAATAATTTTTTATAAGCGTCCTTTTAACCGTTAGGAATTTTAAATACATATTTATCAAATGTTTATTTTATAATTTTCTATGCATTATACAATTTCAAAATATTTTAACCCGTTTTAGAGTTATCTATAGTCATTTTCAATTTTTTTAGTTTTTATTCTATACATATTAATAAAATTTTGTTATTGGGTCAAATGCTTGAAAATATAATACAAGGTTGTATACCTTATATGTTGTTATAATAGCAGTTTATTATTGTTAAAGATCCACATTGCTAATTAAAGACGTGATATTAAGGAATATATACTTAAAGTTAATTTGATCCAAATAATAATAAAATTCTGTTGATAATAAGTAGGAAACGGATATTAATTCCATAAAAATAAGAAAAATGTCTTTAAAAAATACGACTTAATATCTTGAAAAAAATGATTTAATATCAAAAAGATTCTCTAAAAAACTTTTTAAATTCAATAAAAACACAATTTCGAACTCAAAACTTATAAAAAACACATTAATTTAACTCAACAGTGCAATACAAAGTTACAATTTAAATAAATAGTTTATCTTATCTTTACCTAATTGCATGTAATATGTTGTAACTTGTATGTATGTTTATATACGTGTGTACTGTCTACACGCGTGTSAACAATAATTTCGTTTGGTGTCAGGGTTTATCTGATAAACCATCATACATTTTTATTTTTATTTTTTAGTATGAATGTTAATCTATATTTTTATCAATTTTTATTTATTCCTATATAAAAATGACTTAGGAACATAAAAATGCACTAAAAATGTCAAAAATGTGAAGTAAAAGTTACATTTTTTAATTCCTTGATGTATTAATGAACTTCGTGCTTGGAATCGGATATTCAGAAAAAAATGCAATTTGCATTCAAATCTATTCCCTAATGATTAGTAATAGCAGTAGTTTTAGCTCTGATAATACCTGCAATACGTTTATAAAATATTTATCTTATTGGATATTTATTAGCATATTAAAACAAACTGATAAAATAATATAAGCAGAAGAAACATTTTTTATTTTGTGTAAATCACTGGGTTAAAAAAAATTACTTGAATGATATATTTATTTAAAAATTTCGTCAATAGATTGTATATATAAGTAATTACGTAGGTAATATTATATAATATATATAGAGTGTTTCATAATGAATGCAGTTTTTAATGTTGCTATAAATCAGTTWATTTTATAAAAAATACATTATTAATGATTCATATTATTTCACTATTAGTTGAGGTTTAAGTGTTTAAGTGTAAAATTTTATATTGACATATTGTGCATATGACCTAGAGTCATTAACAACAGCGAAACATCGAAAAATCGAACATTGGGCTCGTTAGCGCCTAGGAGTTTTAATATTCGAAATTGATCCTGTCTCTTTGAATTTACCGACTAGCCTCACTATTGGTGATGCGGTCATCGCTTCACGATGTTTGAGGATCGTATGAAATTTTCTATAAGTTACAGCAATACACACGCCATGTATATAATGGGTTTTAATAAGCAAAACGTGTTGCTCGTTGCTTGATTGTATACCGCTYCATGACGACAAATAAATAATAAATTGATTATTCACTAAAATCCTAAACAACCACAAGTAACAAAAACTATATAAGCACAATACCATATTCTTAACAATAACAAATTAGTTAGGATTTCAAAAACTGCGTTCTGTATGAAACACAAACACCCTATATTTATACGTGCAGCAATGTTGTAGTGATTATCATATATTTCTACATAACTACCAATGCATATTTATTTTTAAAAGATTACAGTTTAACTTTATTAGGTATATATTTCATAAATAAGTCCAATATCCAATAAATTAGATATATATCATAAAATATTAATTTTATTGAAGTAAAAATATTAATAAAAAATTCATTTTTTAACATGTATTTTATTGATGACACGTCATTTAATCAAATAATAACGATATTCATATATTATTTTACTGATGATTTTATAATCCAATTTGTTAGTAATACCATTAATATTCATTTCCATGAATCCAAAATTCATTTATATTTCTAAATTCTAATGGCTATTTCTAATAATGCATGATTTAATATTTTTAATAGCTGATACTAAATTATACTTGTTACATGGGAGGAGGGTATCAGAACACGGAATCCTGAATTCAGATATATAAGGGAGAAGGGTATATTCTCTTGAAAACTTCCTACTAACTAACTAATTGAAACTTAACCTACCTAACCCATAAATTTGTTTTATTTTATTCATAATTCATACCAATATCTCTTTATACACATCAATAAATTGTGGTTTTGACTTTTGAAGCTAAAATAACCATAATAAATATATATTTTTTTATGAGAGCACCTGGTTGAAGACAGGATGTAGTATACGAGTATATGGTACAACGGCGATGGTAGATCCGCCAAATCCTATATATTAATATATACGCTATAAAGCCATATAGGTCTATCTCGGTTTGAGTACAACACAATGTTAGTCTGTTAGTTAACCTCAGTTCACAGGATAAATCGGCGTCAATCTACCTAGCTTTGTGTTTAAGTTCAATCTAAATCGGCAACCACAAGTTGCGGATTGGGTTTAGCACTGTTTTGGTATATTTTTCGATAACTGGGGGAAAAAATCACCTGAAAAAAATTCTACTGTATGTAAATAAAAAATGCTTTTCAACCACAATAAGTCTTTAAATATTGTTTTAGAAATTCTTAAGCAAAGAAAAATATAAACTTAGTAAACGCAATWACGATRTGACAGCACCAACTGACGAATTATTTATTATTTCAGGTTAATTTATTAGTTGTTATTAAACCTAGTCGGTCAAAAAATCTCACAGTATAGAAACTTATAAGACAAACTTAAAACAAGCATGCCGATCGAGCTAAAGTTCCTATTAGCGGCTTTAGGTGAACCCAAAGAGAGCAATTCAAAAATAGTCCATTATCAAATTATAAACATCTGTCTAAAAGATATAGTTAAAAGATAAAATGAAAATAATATAAGATTAGAAAATTTTTAAMTGCTGTGTCGCATAAAATACGCAAGCAAACTAATAGATAAACTTCTTTTTATAACAAAATAACTGACTAATTATTATTTATTATTATTATTGTACAGAGTTTTTTTATCCGGTGATTTTTATTCCTGGGATTTATGTTCCTAGATCCATATTTTATATGTTTAATTTATTTCTCATTCAAATATCAAATATTAAATAAGTAATCATTTTTTTATAATKTAATTAATAATTTTACTAGGTACCTATTATAATTGTTGTTTCTATTACATTTTAAAATCACAGAAAACTCGGTAATACCTATTAATTATTAATCTATTATAAAAGATGACCGTGTTGTATGACTCATAAATCTTAGTAATATATAAATATATAATATATCGTTTACTKTTGGATAATGATAATTTGTGTTAACATTCATAACAAAATTACCATATTAGACCACGCCTACACGAGTAGTCATGATGGTGATTATTTTTGAACTTCGGTTCCATAACGGTAAAAAAAATATATTAGTACACTTCTACTATATATATATACTCCCTCTTCATATCAATCATAATAATAATAATACAACGAACGCAAACGTGCACGTAAATTATATGGTGTAAATAAAGTAACAACATTTTGCTATATACCGACAACCGACACAGTTTACGCGTTGCATTTCCGCGATCATCATCGCCGTCACTCGAGTGTTGGTCACATAAGTCGTAGTCTTTCAACACTGACGTGTTCATCAATAATAAAAATATTGTTACTGTTCGATGTCGACGGTAGACCGATCAATTCACACATAATTTTGCAATAGTTACAATTAGWCAAGTGAAGGGTTACATGCGTGATCTGTAAACATAACCTTAATAGCACTGTGCGCCTGTGCGGCTGGTGGACGAGGACAACATCCGATACATTAACAATTCCGTCTGCTASCTGTGAAGTTGGATTTATCATGTCGAGTGTGTGGTCGATTCCGTTTGTCCAACTCAGCGCCGCCGCCGTTCTACTCGTCACGTTCTTGGTTTACATGTACTTGACGTACCACTACAGAAAGTGGACCGGGCTCGGCGTACCACACGCCGCGCCGTCGCCGCCGTTTGGAAGCCTACGCGACGTGGTCATGGGCCACGTACCGCTCGTCGACGTCATCCATTCGCTGTACCATCGATTCGACGGGCAACGGTATTTCGGCATCTACGAGGGACGTCAACCGTTGCTAGTGATCCGTGACCCCCAGCTAGTACACACTATCATGGTGAAGGACTTCCGATCGTTCGTCGATCGGAACGCGGACAAGGTGTCGTTCGTACACGATAAACTGTTCGATCACTTGGTGAACCTGAGGGGTGAACAGTGGAAAGCAATCAGGGCCAAGTTGAGTCCGACTTTCTCGGCCGCCAAGCTCAAGTCCATGTTAGGTGACATAAACGTGTGCACGACGCGTTTGATCGACAACTTGAATGGGCAGATAATGAAGAACAGTGGTAATAATGATATTATATAATATATTACCTATGTTATGTACATTATATATAATATATTATATATTTTATATATAAATAATAGTCATAATACATATATATACAGATAGGTTAGGTATCTAGGGCATCTTGGTATGTAAACTCTTTTCAAAATATGTAATTTGTTCACAAAATTCGATTTTTGAATTAGTTCTTATATTCTACATACTATAATATAGTACGTATACAGAAGCAATAAATTTAAAAAAAAATCCGTATAGGTATGCAATAACCGAAAAATATGTGTAAKCCGAAAGCGCGAAAGATACAGGAATATATGTCTATATTCACGTCCTTAATTAGATGCTAATTATCATGAAATAATTTTATATAATAAAAATATATTTCTTATTGTGTTGTCAAAGGACACAATGCACAAATTACCTTCCTTTAGGTACTTATTATTTTTTGTCTATACACATATTATATACTTTAACACTATAAATGTAGCTAAAAAATAAAGACAAAAATATAAACATTTTACAGGAATTGTTGATGTAAGTGAAGCGTCGGCTCAGTTTACAACTGATACTATTGGTCGTTGTGCTTTTGGACTGGACTGTAATACATTATCAGATCCAGATTCAGAATTTCGCCGTACAGGACGAGCTATATTTATGCCAACTCTTCGATCAACTTTACTAAATATCACCAGACTACTTGGTTTTGGTCGGCTCTTAGATGTATTTAGAATACGTGGCATGTCAAAAGACATATATGACTTTTTTGATAATCTACTTGAGACTACGATGGAACAACACAAATATGGAGAAAATACACGTAATGACTTTATAGCACTTCTAGTAAAGTTGAAAGACGAAGAAAAATTGAAGGAACATGGACAAAGTAAGACATTTAGATTTGATATTAATTATAAATCTTTATTAAGTATTGTTTACTTGTAAATGATAGCAGGCTATAAAAAAATATTATTTATTACTTATAACTTTATAAGCTATTCATTTATTTTTTTCAAGTATATGAATGGTTAACAATCAACTTAAAATATTCATTTATTTGCTCTTAATACATAAGCTATTTTTATAAATTGTCATGGGTAGTCGTTACTATATTAGCCATACATTTATAACTTAAAAGTATTATAACTATCAGCATTAGCTATCTGTATAATATATTATGATCACTATTAAAATCAAAAAGTGAATTCGATTAAATTCAAATWCATTTGGACATCATTTACAAAAAACACCACGAAAAATATTKTATTAATTCTAATAAAATCTATTTTRAAAAAATACATGATGCAATATGATTCAATTTTGTATTTACTTTTCAGAATTATTTACTGATGACATATTAGCTGCAAATTCATTCGTATTCTTTGTTGCTGGATTTGAAACTACAGCTTCGACGATAAGTTACTGCTTGTACGAGTTAGCAATGAATCCAGAAGTTCAAGAAAAATTACGAGACAATATCAAGCAAAAATTTAACGCAAACGATGGAAAGCTGACATACGATACGTTAAAAGACATGAAGTATTTAGATATGGTGATAAATGGTTAGTATATATATATACTATATAGTATATACCTGTATATATATATATATATATCTGCCTATCTGCCTATTACATCTTATGTTATGAATTTACAGTAGCTAAATCGAATAAAAATATATTTTTAACTTTATGATTAACTTGTTTTATCAAAAAACTGTTAGAGACATTCAGACTGCATCCACCAGTTCCCGTTTTAAATCGAGTGTGTACTCAGAAGTACTCAATTGCAGACAGTAACATAACACTAAATATTGGAGAGAAATTAATAATACCCACATATTCATTACACCGCGATCCCAAGTATTATTCAGACCCAAAAATATTTGATCCTGAACGATTTACTGAAGAAAATATAAGTTCAAGACCACACGGCACGTTTTTACCGTTTGGCGATGGACCAAGGATATGTATCGGTAGTCACTTATATCTATTATCTATACTACATTTTAATTAATTTTATACCAATGAGAATATATTTTGATGTCAATACATATTAATTATAGTAATTATACACAAATTATGTTTATTTATATGTACGTAGGTATGCGATTCGCAATGATGGAAGCCAAAACAGGGCTAGCTGAAATATTGTTAAAATTCGAAGTATCGCCATGTAAAGAAACACAAACTACGATCAAAACTAGGCCGAGATCAATTTTACTTACACCAAATGAATCAATTCGTTTATCATTCAAAAAAATTATTCGATAATATAAAAATTTATTAAAATGTTATTCATTTATAAGAGTTATTTCAATTTAAAAGTATTAACAAATTATTGTTATTATAACAGCACTAGCAATGTGTTATTTTTTGTTGTGATGTTTTCCTTTGGACTTTGATCACATCAGTTCTCACGACGATCACTCAAAATATTACGCAAAATTGAAAATATTATATACTACATATATGCAATCGTCAATAATGCTCATTAAATTAATGTGCGTTAATTATAGTGATTTAGAGGCGTATACTTTTAATGTGCCAAGGCATGAAATAAGACTACTCACAATAATACGATTTTAATTATTTAAACACCGCATCCAAGGAGGACTACTGTCTACTTCTTCCGTCGCGTTATTAAATGTAATAGGTGCCTACATATTATTACATATCTAGATACTATTTCTACAATCATACTACACATGCATCAATGGTTTCCAACCTTTTTTATTCTACAACTTCTTTATAGATTTTCAAAAATATCGAGCCCCCTCCTATAAATTGAAAAAATAATAATTTACTGACGTTGCAGCTGTATAAAACGATTAAGTACCCCGATGAAGATATGAGTGTTTACTGTTTAGTGACTATAAATACATTTGTAATACTTATCGATACAGGTCGTTATTATTTTTAATTTTTTTCCCTACATTGTACAATAAACACAAATTTTACTTCGTAATGACAGCTTATTGAGCCTCCCCAACAATGTACACACGCTCTACCTAAGACAGTTCACTCACCCCTCCCCCAGTTGTGAAAACTAAATTACCTATATACGAGGCCAAGCCGTTACTGCACCGAGAAACAACATTATTACATCATTATGATTGTGGATGTTGCCCCGAGATAGTGGGGATCCTATTATAATCTATATAGACTAAAAAGTAGTAATGACGGCATAATATTATAACAATAATATTAAGTGCGTCGTCGTTTACGTTAACACGTGCAGTGCTTCTTCTAAGTATAGTAACTAAAATTATACTTACGCCGTCATCAGCGGCAGTGTGCGCGCTTATTAAGCATAATATTTATATCAGCGCCACTATTATTATAGCAAGATTAGGCHAGATTTGTACGTTTTCGCATCATTACGTATTGCATCGCTTATGAATTTATGATGATCTGCTTCAGTTGTTGGCTAGAGATCGTGCCGATCGCCGCTATTGCATCGGCGCTACTGGCGTATGTGTACAGCACGCGATACTATGGGCACTGGACGTCACTGGGCGTGCCGCACACCAAACCGRCACCGTTACTGGGTCACTTCGCCGAGCCCACAATGGGGCGCGAATCGGGCATCACCATCATTGACACACTCTACAAGCGTTTCGCCGGCCACAGGTTCTTTGGGCTGTAYCAGCTTCGGCACCCAATGCTGGTGGTGCGCGACCCGGTACTGGTACACACARTGCTGGCCACAGAGTTTGGGTCGTTCCACGACCGGGTAATGAGCCGGACGTCGTTCAAACACGATGAGCTGTTCAACAACCTAGTGAACCTAAGGGGCGACAAGTGGAAAGCCGTCCGTGCCAAGTTAAGTCCCACATTCACCGTGGCTAAGCTTAAATCCATGTTTTCCAGTTTGCACGTGTGCACCGGCCAACTCACTGACAAACTGCTACTCCTGACATCCGGTGGCCAAGGTATTAAATTTAATAATAATATGAACATTGAACCTGTATAAGATTATACCATCAACGGCATTACGGCAATATTTTAGCAAATGTTAATAGTTGATTGTGCCTTTAAGTATTAAACTGACAACTGCTATTTAAAATTGGTATATATTGTAAGTTATAATATATACCAAATTATTTACTAGGTATAGTGTGAAATCAGTAACAATGATTAAAAATGTGGGAAAATTACCTGATAATGTCAWAAAATGACTTAAAATATAATAAAAACCAAAAAATGCGAAATAAAAATTAGTTATTCAGATTCACATGCTAATGAAATATATTTATAACTAGGAGGGCATCGTCTAAAAATTCCCCAAAAAAATGCAAATTCCGAGCCCTAATTATAAAATTATAATACATGGGCACTCCATCACGCACGTGCTTCTTGCACACGACAAATGAAGATTGCTACTCGTATTTCTGAAATTTTCAATACATGGTTAAAATTATTAATGTATTTATAGTAAGAGCAATAATAATAAAAATAATAATATTTTTAATTCAATTATTTATAACTTTACGTATAGATTAAT